AACTTTTGTCTTCAATAAATGTGTTCACAGACAAAGCCTGGCCACTTCATCATTCAACTTGTATGTTAATGGTGTCTGCACCGGTACTGGCCTTGTTCAGGCCTCCCTTCTAAAAATAACTTGAAATCATCTTAAGCTCATGACGTCATTGCTAACCTCAAGTTTGCCCCATCAGGAGTGGAGACCCCGGTTGCGCTGAATAGGTCAAATAAGTTCAGAGTGAAGACAACCCCCCCTCTCCCCTTCCCCTCGCTAAACCTTCACCTCTGAACACCCCCCTCCCCCCAAACAAGGGCAGTGCTACTGACTTAAGTGTCTTTAGGCCATTCCCAAAGGGGGGATATTACCATGTTCTTAAGCACAGTAGAAATGTAAATAGGCTGTTTTATCAATGCCATGCTCATACGGTGCCTGAACAACATAGGGGGAACTGCTGCTTTTCTTTACTCATCCTTAGTATCATCATTTTCCTCTACTTCTTTTGTACGTTTGTCACTGTCTTGTGAATTGCTACTTCAGGGGTGCCTTGATAGTCCAAGCAGATTGTGTGCTGTTGAGTCTAGAGAAGCGCAACAGAGTAAGCCTGATTCTCCGTTTGGACTTTTCTGTTTATATCCATCCCTTGACTTTGTGCAGTTGCGAGCGCAGTATAACCTTACTAAAACTATAAAACGCACCTTTGAATCTGCGTGAGGGACACAGAAGAAAACCATACCTGTCTGCAAACATAATTAAACAAAACAGTGTTTATATTAGATGAAACAAATCCGTGTCTGCAAACTTAAAAAGAACAAAACAGTTTGGCAAACTTGATAAAATAAAACATAATTATCTCGCATACTTGCAAACGTCCGGGGTCGCAAACTCTCGCAAACGTGAAAAGAGGCCAAAATCTGGGCAATATTCGGTAGCGATAAAGCATGAACCCAGGGGTTAAAAAACACCCGCAGACTCCTGCACGATAAGAAAAATTGGCTATTTTGATTCGTGTTTCCTCAGAGGAGCCTAATTATTGAACCAGCCTCCTGGAGAGATAATGCGTTGTTAGAGATACACAAAAGTTCTGCACGACCCCCAAGACACTCTTGGAAGAATTTCTAATAATATTAATTATAAAAATTTGTCTCTGAACCCACCAACCTGGGCAGTCGATAATCTCGTCTGTACTTATTACCACGCCGGGATGTTCCCAGATGTCTGTTTAGCCCACTCATTAATGAGGTTTCCCTCAGATTGAAACTGATCTGATTATCAAGACGGCGAGAGTTTGGATGGTTGCCGGGGCCCCTCACTTCTCCTGCATAATTAATGTCAGGCTTTTTGTGAGTCCGGGGAGCTACACGCCGCTGATTGGGCTGCAGGAGGGAGTCGTCATCTAATTTTAATAGGTGCTCAAAGCTCGGGAAGTGGACGGGCGGAGTTGGGTGGACGAGGTGGGGACGGAATTTGCGTCAGAACACGACAGAATCAGCCGCTCGTCAATGTTGTGTTAGGTATGTTATAAAGTTATTAGCGTCCTCTGAAACTCAGCTAATTTGACACACTTTTGAGCAAAAAAACCCACCCTTCTTTATTGGATTGAAGTCAAGTTACTTCAATTATCCAATTAAAAGAGAGGTCGCCTGAAATCGAAGGAAAAATTAGCAATAAAATTGTCATCTACGGGTGGTGACTTCCAAAGATTAAATTAAATGTCCTTGAAAACTGCAAATCTACAATTCGTGTGTGTCTTTGGTCATCGTTTCTAGTACAATCCAGACAGACATGTGTTTTTAAATGGACACAAACGCCGACCTCACCCCACCTCTGAAAGAAAAAAGAGGGATATAAATTGTCCACCGAGAAGGACAATGCTGATTTCCTCCCCAAAAAGTATTTTGACGAACGTCTGATTTCACCGTGATGCCACACACTAGTCTCGCAGACTTGGACAAACGATCTCTGAGTGTGAGCAAACTTCCCCCACATCGGCTCACCCCGTCAGACAAAGATAAATGTAGTGATAATATTATCTTTCGCAGCAACACTGTTTATCATACTTAGAGCTGTAAACATAGGTCCAGATTCATACGGTGGTTAGAACGATCTCTTCGCCGTTTGTCTGTTCTAGATATAACTCGTCTGGAACATTTTTGTAATGACTATGCAAAAAGAGAACAAGCAAAAAAGATAACAAGCATAAAAAAATAAATTAATAAAACTAGACACAACAAAATATCCGCCCCCCCCCCCCCCCCCCCAAAAAAAAATAAATAAAAAAAATAAAATCACATCGATCCCTTTTCACGACTGTATTTATATCATACGTTTATGTTCATTAAGGTGAGATATGATAAGTCGTTATGGTCAAGATCCTGGCACACTGGTTTTAAAGTTCGTGGTGAAACAACAAAAGACAATTAGCCACGAAGGTCAGAATGAAACAGAGAGGGCAAGTGAGATCTGTAGTCATTGTCACATACACATTCACACACGGAGGCACACACACACACACACACACACACACACACACACACACACACACACACACACACACACAGAGAGAGAGAGAGAGAGAGAGAGAGAGAGAGAGAGAAAGAGAGAGAGAGAGAGAGAGAGAGAGAAAGAGAGAGAGAGAGAGAAAGACAGAGATAGAAACAGAGACATAAACAGAGACAAAGAAACACAGAGACAGAGAAAGACAGACATGGAGACCGAGACAGACAAAGAGACTGACAGACGGACATACAGACAGACAGACAGACAGACAGACGGACACACAGACACAGACGGACACACAGACAGACAGACAGAGAGACTCACCGTTCGCACGCCCTGACCAGCCAGCCAGCAATAATCCAGAGAGTGAGCGTGAACACTAGTAGGACCGTGCCCGGGCAGATGGTCATGAGCGTCTTTAGAACGAACTTGGTGTCAAAGTGAATCCTGTTGAGCGCTCCGATACTCCGCGAAGAGGCGTCGGTGAAGAGCTTGCTGTGGAGCAGCATCACCCGACAGATGAGGTAAAGTCTGAGGAACATGGGCACGGACAGAGCCACGTCTACTGACACCTTGTTGTGTAACGGTTGCTTGGTCTCCGCCAAGGTCACCGACCACGTGAAGGTGAAGTCGCCCGGGATCGGGTGGATGGCGCAGACAAAGAACTCCACCAGGAGCTGCAGCGCGCGCCTCCATGAGATGGCGATCCGCCAATCTTCCACGCAGTTGTCGATGGCAAACAGCTGGGGAAGGCACACACACAAGAAAAGGGAAGTTTACTCACTCTGCAGGTACAGGAGGGAAGGTGGTGGAGAATACACATATACAGAAAAACATTTGGTCAGAATATTCGAAATCAAATCTGAGCGTCAAATCTGAGCGATACACTACGAACTGGTGACTAATCTAAGCTCTATTTAGCGACTAGCTGTGATAACATTTCTTCGTTAAAAGCAATCCAGATGTGAATGTTCTTGTCCTGTACGTCACTTGGTTATTCTGTAGACTTTTAAACGCCACGCCAAAGCATTACGTAGTAGCAGTGAGGCAAAATTATAACTTTATGATGACAGAAATTATTGTTTCTATACAATTTTAATACTAAGAACACATTTCAAATGCCGTGTTGCAAGCGTGACTCTAGATACAAAGCAATAGACCGTACTTTCCATGATGTTTAATCGCGCTGACATTAACTGGCTGTATGCTCTCAAAAAATAGAAAACGTATTCTCATATGTCCTTAAATATGCTTTTAATATTTGTACTTACTAAAAAAACCACTTCCATACATTTGAAGAACACAATAGGAGAAACGATCTGAGTCACATTTTTAGCTTGGCACACAATGAATGTTGAAACTTAAAAACGAACACTATTTTAATAGGAATTCTGTTGTAAGCTTATTGTCAGGTTTGACAGTTTTTGAGCAATAATGTATAATATATATATATATACGTGTGTAAATTTATAAAAAGCACCTCCACCAACAACACTCAGCAATACCAACTGGAGGAAAAGTGCACATTCAAAGAAATATTTTTCTTTTTTCAAGTTAGTCACTTTGATCGTTTGTGCAAAGTGGTCTTTGCTTTCTGTTGTGTAGACCCATCAAAGAGTGGGTGACTCAGTGTTGGTGATCTCCCTTCTTATCATTCCTTTTCTGTTCACAAACTAGAGAATTCACACACTAGAAACTGAGGTATCTTAATGCTCGCTACAAGTAGTACGAAACATAATAATAATTACTCGTATTATCTTCATAAAACATGTACAACTTTAGGTCTATATATCTTGCGCACCATTCTTGAAAACGTTTGTGAAATGTTTCTTTTTTTTAAACGTTGTTAAATTGTCTACTCCTCAGGCAAAGATGTCTAAGAACTTTCTTTAAATAAAACCCTGAGAGATATGTTTAGATGGAGAGTCAGTGCTAGCTAGTGATTCAGTTATTCTAGACGTTTTTCGTCTTTCGTCAAGTATGATAAAAGATCGTAGAGATGATCATTTTCAACATAATGGATTTGGTGACACGCTAAAGGTAACAGTGTGAGAATGATATATTGTGCTTAATAAGAGGAAATGCAAGAGAATAACATAACGTTGATATGTTAATACGATGCAATGACATTTGTGAATGATGATGTAGAAATAGTGGGTAAAATCTGGAACCTTCATGCTCAACTACATTATCAAAGAGACTAATTAAGTGTGGGTGAAGATGAATAAATAGTTTATTTGACGAAAGTGACGTGGAAAAGAACATAGGACAGCATCAGAAACGATTGAGAGGACTTGAGGACTCTATGTGTAGCTGAAGTCATGCTAAACATCAAGAATAATGATATTATATCAGTGAACCAAGCATCCTTTATCACACAGAATATTGAAAGAAAACTTCATCAGGAGCACCTAACATGGAGTTGTGGCATAGATACCCTGCTATTACATTGCAATACGTCTTTTCCCAAGTAACGAAACTGAGACATTTCATTCATCAACTAATATTGATGCTGCAGCGATAAAAGATGGAAGATCCTTGTCCAAGTCGTGCCATTATGCAATCTTGGAGAACAACGAGAAAGATGGCCGTATCATAACTTCTCAAAGGTTATTTTTGTAAACCTCCTTAACACTTTGTGCTATACAAACAACGCAACTTAAGACCTTACATTTGAATTACTGGTACATTTTTAAATAATACATTTGTGAGGCAGCGTGGTGGAATCAGGCTCTCGTCAAAATAATCAAAGTGAAGAAACTTGCATTTTTCCACAGGTTTGTGAAATTTTATCAAATTTTTGTTTTTTTGGCTCAACAACTTTCATGCCCACTAAAGAACTCATTTCTGTTTGGATTTTTTCGAAAAACGTTGATGAAAGACACAAAAAATGTAAATTTTCAGTTACCACTGACTCTGAAGCTAAGGACATAACGAATCTTTGGCGGCCATTTTCTCACTAATTTTACCTCTGAAAACAGGTGACCCCTACCTCCTTCTTTCGTAAATATCTCAACTTGCATTCAAGATAAATGGATACCTTTTTCATCCAAATAAAGACAAGTGAACAAGCTTTAAGATGATACCAATAACTTTACATGTCTAATAAATGACGAGAGCCTGATTCCACCACGCTGCCTCACATTTTAATAAAAACGTGTCGTCCTGAAATTTATTTTTATGGTTGCTGTTCGTTTGTTTGTATATGAGTGTGCTTTTGTGTGCTTGTGTGTGTGTGTGCTTGTATATGTGTTTGTTAGTGTGTGTGTGTGTGTATGTGTGTGTGTGTGAGAGTGTACAAGAGAGAAACGTTATCAACAGCGCTAAAAGGTGCACACTATGCAGTCACTGTCGCCCAATCATGCCAAGTTGCCAGTGACTTCCGCCTGCTGCATGCTATGTAAGAAAAGAGAAACAAGTACGGCCTACAAATCATATTGAAAACGAAAACAGGAGAACGAAAGAAAGCTGATAAACAGGGGCACAAGGCAAGGAGTTCAGCAGCCAACAAAATGGAAATGTTTCTGTAAAGAAAAGCTGTAATATACTGAAAACTTCTGGAAGCGGTAAATGCAAAATATCCAGCTATAGGCGAAACGAAGATTTTTATTAATCGGGCATAAACAAAACAAATAAAAACATAATGTTTTCTTTGGGTAAATCTAAAGCAGACTACTTGTCAAGATGCAGATTTTCCTCATGATAGCAGGGTTAAAGTTTTTAAAAATCCAGCCAGTAAACACTTCGAAAGAAACTAACGCAGAAGAAAATAATCACACCCTACGAAAAGCGGAGAAGAAATGGAGAGCTGGGAACTTTGTTTGTGGACTTGGAAATGGCGCGTCACATCCCATAAACCCACACTGTGCTGCTAGTGGCGTAGTGATATGGGTTTAACCAATGTTGTCCAGATTAATGTCGTTCACACATGATGTAGTTCGCGTTAAACTCAATTATTGAGAGTAGTGAAATTTAATCTCATATTTTTTAGTCAGTGCATTCACACCGAAATGCTTCCAAAAAATGTGCCCTTCAGTATAATAGTTAACCTCTCCCCCCTCGCCCCCACATAAAAATAAAACGCTTTCTCTTAAAACAAATGAACGATTTAAAGTGCCATTAAAATTATGTAAATTATTCATGTATGCACGTTTACTTGAGGGAGACCATTTCAGGAGTTACACCAGTATGCTTACAGTCGAAAAAGGAAATAGCCTTGCTGTTTCTTTCTACAGGTACTTTAGAAACGATTCTCTAATTCAAAAGGACGGAGCTAATATAGGAAAAGAAGCTAAGCACAAAACTACCCCTGGAGCTCACAGACAAGGACGCAAAGAAATCAAAAGATTTCAAGGAGAAACAACTAATTCTATTTTGCACACAGAATGTATTGCAAAAAGTTCACACTTTGCTCTGGTATGCCTTGCGCTACTGCTGTATTATCAGATCAACACACTCAACCCCACACTGCAAATCGCTCTAATTTATTCAGTCTCTCTAGGTCTATAAGATGGAATTTAAGCAATGGCATCTATTCTTAGAGCACCCAATCAGCATGGACTAAAACCACCAGGCAATACTGCGCATGCTCACAGCACTGCAAACTGGGTCAGGTGAACAAATCGCTCCTCCTCACCGACCGGACCTGCTCCAAAAGCTCCGCCTAATGAGAGTTCAAACAGAACAAGTAGAACCACCCGACAAACATTCACATCAAACAACCAGAGATGTATTTTGAGAATAGTGTTCAGATTAAACAACGCTCAATGTGCTTATTTCTTCCCTGTGTTCCTCAGACATTGCCTCAAACGATGAATACAGATGGGAGGCCCTGTGGTGAAATCAGGCGCTCGTCAAAATAATGAAATCGAAGAAACTGGCATTTTTCTGTTACTTTGGCAATTTTTATCTACGTTTTGACTCAACACCTTCATGGTCTATTTAAAATCCCAATGCTGTGTGGATCTTACTGAAAAATGTTTATTTAAAGCACAGAAAATGTCAATATGCCGTTTCTAAAGATTCTAAAGCTTTGGAAATCGCCAAAAATTTGAAACCACCTCCTTCAATGGTAAATATCTCGACTTTTGTTCATGAAAGATGCGTACTTTTTCACCAGAAGAAAGACAAATGAACACGCTTTAATGTGATACCATAACTCTACATGTCCAAAAATTGACGAGAGCCTGATTCCACCACGCTGCTTCACAAATAACATTTCCTTTGATCTGTTTCACAGACTAACAAATGTTTTCCGATATGACCATGTGATGCCCAGCACTTTAATGATTTGTTTCAGAAGATTTCTGAAATAGTTCTGATGGTACATGCACAGCCTGGAAGTGAATTTCAAACTCCTTATTATGAGATGATGCAGATGAGCGGTGTAAGATTCAGGGAAGAAATGTTATTTCATAATCTGAAAGCATGAAATGTGTTATGTTTGCAGAGCGTAAAACGTGAAAGTTCCCTTGTTTTGTCTGTAAATGTTCTGGCTAAATGCTTTGGCAGAGGTGCTCTGATTTCAGCAAGAGTCCTCTGCTTTTTAACCTTTTCTCTGCTGTGTTGATAAAGCAAGGTTGTATTCGTTGGAAATATTGTCCAAAACAGGGTCACTATGATTTGGTTGCACTGCTTTATAGACCATGGTTTAGGACATGGGAATACAATGTGTATGACTGCTTACTCTTACAAAAGGAAAAGATAAAAGCATTATTTATAGCTCTCTTGAACGAACCATGTTGCCTTGTCTGTGCCAACGAAGATGGAACAGTCTCAGCAATGAAGTGGTGAAGAGAACTAATGAAATGACTGGCTTAGAAATAGTGCCAGTGCCAGTACTGTCTTCCTACTTAATGTTTATCACGTAGGCTACTGGGTACAGAGTGGAAGGGGGGGGGGGTCTAGCCAAAAGTCTAAACAACTGAACCTATAATGGAATTGTGATCTGAGTCTGCCGCCCTCCCCCCCTTTCCCCAGACACACACATTCATTTTCTCTATCCCCCCCCCGTCCCCTTTTCTCTATCTCGTTCGTTCTCTCTCTCTCTCTCTCTCTCTTTCGTTCTCTCTCTCTCTCTCTCTCTCTCTTTCTCTCTCTCTCTCTCTATTTCTCTATGTCTCTCTCATTTTACCCCCACCCCTCCTTTTCTCCCTCTCTCATTGTCAACTTTCTAGTTCTTCAAGTGCCATGTCTGAAACAGACATCGGCCATCATTGTTCATCTTTCAGTTTCACTACTCTGATGCTTGAAAACAAAACCTATAGAATACTATTTTCTTGGTCTTTATTACGACTGTTCATATCCTCTAAATAAACTAGTGGAGGTTTGCCTCTGACTCGATGGATCTCAAAGTTTTGAAGAGAGCGCAAGTCATCCAATACCTTTATATACATGAAACGATACAATTAAATGAGAATATTAGAAGCTGTAGAATAATCTCTACAGCAAGCAAATCTAATTTCCCTCTTCCGGCCTTGACATTCGTGCGTGCATGAGGCTCGATCTAATTAACTCTTCCCTCCACCACTCTGTAATTACTTCATCCAGGTAAAATAGCCCTATCTCCCATGACAACCAAAATAACAAACAAAAAACAAAACAAAGTTCTGAATCTAAAAACAAAAACATAACCAACTCACTACGCCACTGCAGTGAAAGAATACACAGACTAGACGTTGTCCCAATCGAAACAAATCAATTTAATAGGAAAAGGGTCAGATCCTATAATACAACTTATAGGGTCAGAAGTTTAAGGGGGGAACTCCCATAGAACCTAAGTGATCGTAATGATAATGTGGAGAAAGAGTTCAAATGTGGAGAAAGCACGTCTAGAGTAAAATAAAATAAATGCTGGAGATCTAGATTATTGTAGTCTTCTCGCATGGCAATAAATTGAACACACGCAAAAAAAAAAAAAATCCAAAAAAAAAATAAAATCAATCAACTAACGTGGCTACGTTCCTCTCGAAAATCGATAGTTTCCTGAAGCAGAGCGAGACAATGAAGATTAATGAACAGTGGCAAGAATGATACAGCAAATGTGTCAGTGATTGATTCTGGATAAAACATGAGGACTAAGGTTTGGCCGCTCTTAGTGGTTATAGGTGGTGTTTGTTTGTGGGAAGGATGTCACATTATAGTAGTCTGTGAGCAGTGTGTGTGTACTCGAGCAGGGGGGATGGGAGGAGGAGGGAGTGCGGAGGAGGAGGGGGGAGGGGAGGGAGTGAGGAGGGGGGGTGAAGTGGGCTGGAGGTGATGGTTCTAGCTCACAACGAACGTTGCGCTGGTCACCGTACATTATTATTATTATTCAAGTCAGCAAGCTGTTCAGATATTCTAAGCCCAAAAAGTAACATTGTTTATTATAATGGGGAAACTGTTTCATTTTTCAGACAATTTCATTTTTTAAATGTATCTTTTTTTAACTTTTTACAGCATTTAGAATTAGAATGATTTTGACAAAATGTTTTAAAACACATGCAACCTATGACATATGATACGAAACTGCAAAGAACAAATCAAAACAAATCAAAACATTTGAACAATTTTGGGCTAAGCGCGTCTGAACAGCTGACTGAAGATTTAGTTCCAAGTCCAGCAGTTCCAGCTGACTCATGTCACGTACTATTCAGGAAGCGTTTGTGCCTGGTGTATACGCAGAAGTCTGTTCTCATTGTAATATAGTATAAACAGACTCACACACACACACACACACACACACACACACACACACACAAGCACACACACACAAGCACACACACACACACACATACACACACAGACACACACACAGACACAAGCACA